TTTTCCTGTGGGAATGTCATTTATCCCATGCAGAGCTACACCTCTGTTGCCCCAGTCATCTTCACAAGGAAGAGATCCACATGCCAAAGGGAAGTGTGCTTCTGGAAAGATGATTGCCTCTTGACTATTATATCCAGCTGAAGACTCTCCTTCCAAATTACCATTTTCTTCAATCTTCTTATCAACATCAACAGAATGACTGTTCAGGAAAACTTCACCCACACGTGCACTCCCTGATAAAATCCAGGAAGCACAAGCAGCTGTACACTGGTCTTTTATACACTGATTATTACAATGCTGTGTGTAACAATGTTCATTTTCTAAACCAGTGATCACTCTCTCCGGATTTCCTCCAGATTTCATGTCCTTTTGGGATACCCTGCTTGTCACATTAGGGTTAGCAAAAGTCCTGGAACTTACTGAAGACTTGAATTTGTCTTTATGAAGCAAAACTTCAGTGACTTGTGCCCCTGTTGTTCCAGAAGCACCAATGGTTTCTGTTCCAGACAGATTATCCCAAGCCTTGTCCCTGTGTGGAATTTCATTAGCAGTACAAGGAGGACACTCATTATTATGAGGTTCTCTTGCTTTCTGTAAAACAGGAGGTAGATTTACATTTAGTGTATAAAACAAATGTGTTTCTTTCCCGGTGGACAAACTGCCACTGCCATCAGCTTCTGCAGCTTCAACTACACCAGCAGCCAACCCATCTGATGTTGTATTGCTCTCAGAGTCCTTTGCAAGCAGTTGTGCCTTGGGTGGATCTTTTTCCAGCTTGGTACCAAGGTCAAGACAGCTGTGGTTGCTGGGAGGAGGAATTTTATTGGAGGTATTGTAAGAGCTTATGTCTCTCTGTCCAGTTCCATGGGAAGCAATGTTGCCTGTTTCCATCAACAGACTCTTTTCTTTTCTACCATCCTTGAACAGGTCACTGAGAGAGAATTGCCACTGGTTCTTTTTTAACTTCTCACCTTCTGATGGGATTCTTTTAAATTTTTCCTTGGAGAACTCCTCAGGAAATGAAGCAACAGAACTAAAAACTGAAGAATGACAATGATCAACACCCTGTTGAGCTTCAGGCCGGCTCCAAACTTCCATGTTATCTCCCACAGCAATTTTTCTCCAGACTTCAGCAGCCTGTCCAAACTGAGAGCTGTATGATTTACCTATACCAGCACTTAATTCCCTAGGATCAGTTTTAGCACTAGATAATCCTTTGTTCCTCACCGCTGGGATCTGCTCTACTGGCACAGATGTGGAGCTTCGATTCCCTACACACCCAGTTCCATGATCACAATGAATGGGATGTTCCACGTTTTGGGGAAGATACTTTAGAGGGGGTTCATTGATAATTCCATGAACTGCAGTACTACTGTTTTCTAGTGGCATATTTCTGAAGTCCAGGTAAGAGATGCTCTTTAGAACCGGACATGAAACTCCAGAACTCGGTATGGACAGTGTCCTACAGCTCCCTGCTGAGGACAACCCACAAGGGTCATTTTGTTTGGGTACAACACCCTTACAGAAGTCACGAGCATCATGTTCATCCTGCTGACAAGTCTGGCAATGAGCAAGTGATGCACTGAATTCATTAACAGGATTTCGTCTGGGTAACTTTTCTTCTTTAATCTCCAAGGCAGACACACCACTCCCCCCTGCTCTCATGGCAGTGTGGGCTTCCAGCCCAGTAAAGTCTTGGGGATGGTCTGTGGCTGCTCCAATGTCCATGACTCTTAAAGGCTCTAGAAAATCTAAGATGCTGGTTTGTTTAACCCCAGCTCTGGCCAGGACTGTGTCTACATCTGGGCATTCCTTGCTCTCAGCTGGAAGACCTTTACTCACTCTGTCATTCCTGTATCCTGCTTTACTAAATATCCTAGTCCCATCAGCCTTCATACCTTGTACTTCTTCAGGGAGCTTTGGCAGAGTTTCAGCTGTCACCTGAACATTTGCTTGGTTTTCCTCTGCATAAGAAAAGATAAAGCAAATCAGAAGCATACACTAAATCTGGACAGCATTCAGCTTAGTCCCTCTGGGTGTTGTAGCAATACTGCAGTGTCAGTGACCAGGATGTTTCCAAAAGGGAGAATCGATGCTAACAATGTTACCACCAGCCTTTAGAAGATAAACGAAGCACTCCACCACCACCCTAAGGTAACAAACCCAATCCATTTCAATACAGACATTCCAAGACCTGGGTATTTCAGATTCCTCTAATATCGAGTGAGGTGCAATGCAGGCCCTATAACTTAACACACAGGCCACCAGCAAAAAGCTTATTTTTAACATCAAAACTGGGGATTTGATCTGCTCCAGCCTGGAGAGATGGCTGGGCATTGAGTGGCCATTTCTTCCTCCTTGAAGACATTTCTGTCAGTGACTCATCCAAAGGAACACAAGGCATATCTCATCTGTCCAAGCAATTTGGATTATTAATAAACTCCTTCCATAAAATCACAAAGAAGGTGCTAATTTAAGAATTACAGTTACCGTGGAATATCTTCATATTCAAAACTTTACAGGGAACATTTTTGCTCAAAATTCTGCAGATCTTTTCCAGATTTTCTAGTAAGGACTAAGACTAGATGGCATTTGTCAGCTAAGCAGCAGTTTAGGTTAAGAAAGCAGGGAGGAGGAAAGAAAATAAGTACTAGATGCAGGCAAAGTGACCAAAGTATTTGGAGCAAGAAGATTCTGCAGGATCATAATGAAATTTAGATTTAGCTTAGTTGTCCTCTTCCTTTGGATTCTGCCCCTTTAATTTCACTTTTTAAAACATTCAAGAATGACTAATACTGTTCCATGTATTTGCTATTACTGCTCTCATACAATCCAGCTTTGAAACAAAATGCAAAACATCTTCTACTGGCACCCCCTTCTGCTTTGGGGTAAATAATTACTTGAATTAAATAATTAAAATACATCTTGTATGGAAAAGGTCTTCAGGAAAGTACATGTGCTGCCAGGGCAAAGCAAAGCTTTAAGGTTTGGTCTTGTTATAGCTATGCAGGGAAATAGTTTCTTCTGTAAAACAAAATAAATGAACTATCCCCAAACCATTCATCATCAATTTTAAATCAACAAGAAGTAACTGGGAGGGAAGCAGGGGGTAGAGAGGGATGTACAGCTGAAGTATCTACCTGTGCTCCTCAGAGATCCTGCAACTTCAGCGCAACAGGCTCTTGAAGACTTTGCCTCTTGCTGGTTGAAGTGAGGGTCCTCCTGAAACAAGACAAAGATCAGTGGGGATGGATGGATGGATGGATTTCTGACATGTGTCGTGTCTCGGGGACTGCACCTGCCCAGCTGGGTTAGTTCAGGGAAAGCAAATCACCAAGAAACCTGTGGGCAGGTCAGCCTTGCACAGAGCCTTGCATTGCAAGTGCTTCCCACAAGCACTTGTCATTCCTTCCCCGTCCTTTCAATCCACACCATGAAACAAAGATGCATCCACAGAAGAGCTGCACTCAGCAGCAATGAGGTCCTGTGACAAAGGCAGCTAAAATGTAAGTAAATGGCTTAAAATGCAAATTGTTGAAAATCTGAATGAGCAGCGTAGCCCAGTCTCCAGGGCTGTCTCACACCCCAAACCACCACCCTACACCTCTGGGAAGATGTGGGTATTTTCTGTTTTGGAACTTGCCTTCTACCACCTCTTCCCTAGGCTCAAAACCACAAACTCACAACAGACCACCTCAGTCTACTTGCAAGAAACCCCAAACCAACACCCCACAACCAAACTTAGAAATATGTAAAAGTTCATCTTGGAAAACTGAATGACTGTGGAAAATTTATTTCATTTTATTTTCACAAACTTTCAAAAAAACCAAACAGATACCAAAATTCAGAATTAAACCCACAAATTACTTTAGCATTAAGCAACACCAAGTAATTAATGTAAAACACACACCTGGGCACCTTATCCTGGTATTTCCTGGCCAGTATGTCTTCAGTCACAGTACATTTTTTCTCCCCTATGTGCTTTTGGTGTGTGTGAAAACTATTTACAAACTAAAGAAAATTATCAAGGACGTCACTAAAACTCTCAGTTTTTAAACAGAGTTTTGTGACTTCAGTTTTTAACAGAATATTCTTTGGCATATTTTTCAGCAGCTTTGACCTAGAAATAATGTTTTTATCATCAGTGTTTGCTAAAGGGGAGAAGAAAAACAGCCATAACAATTTTACCCTTTTACTTTTACTCTTCTGAAAGAGTAAACCAACAGTGATTTCCTCTGTAATTACAAACAATAATTCTAAGCCCAAAAACTGAAATGCTAAACTGGAGCCACCTGTAGCATTATAATTCCACTGCCAGACTGATGTAACTATTATTTTGTGGTCAGTACCTTGGCAGGTGTCAGCACCAGCACAATCCACTGGTATGGAACACCTTTACTGGGCAAGGACACTTCGAGTTGTTTCTCTTCTCCTTTCCAGTCACTGCCAGTTTTGCTCCTTGCTCTGTTCCATACCTGCCTCACACCCTTCCAACAGCGTTTAACAAAGTGAAAACCCTGATGGTTTAAAATGCTGCTGGTCTGCTGAAGAACAGCCTTGTTTTTCACTGGACCCACGATAATCCAAATGCTGACACACACCCTGGAGGTGTCCAAGGCCAGGTTGGATGTGGCTCTGAACAACCTGGTCTAGTGGAAGGTGTCCCTGCCAGTGGCAGGGGGTGGAACAAGATGATCTTCAAGGTCCCCTTCCAACCCAAACCATTTATGATTAATAGCAGAAGACACAGAAGAGAACCAGGAAACCCCCTGGCCAAACCCACTGCCTGGTGACTCTGACCCTAAATTCAAGGTATCACACAGGGATTCATTTTTGCCTTTGCTTACTTGTTTTGACCAAGTTTCCCCTGGAGTGGAAGCAGAGCCTTCAGCATGACGGTCCTCAGCACCTTGGGCCTCTTCAGCTTCTTTCTGGTATCCATCACTGGAACAGTCCACTTTCCTAAAGTGTCTTTTTTTGTTTTGTTCATCCCCCTCAAGGTCTCCAAGCTGCAGCAATTCTTCAGGAAGGGATTCTGCTGGCCCTCGAGAAACCACCTCGAGCACATCACCCAGATCCTCTGCCTTCTGGCAGAAGTTTCCTACTCCAGAAGTCCAGGGAGTGTCCCTGTGTGTGAGCACAGGCACTGAGCCCTCAGCTTGTGCCCCCAGTCCCAGGGCAGGTCCTGGCACTGCCATGAGTTCCGTGGAGACGCTCCCGGGCAGCCCAGGGTACAACTCCTCCAGCACAGCAGCCACAGGAGAATCCAAGAGAGACTCCAGCCCAGCTGAGAGCATCAGGGCAGGTGAGGACTGGTTGTCCTGAGCTTTTCAGTTTATCCTAAAAATAAAAGCAATGGTACATCAACATTTGTAGGGTTAATCACAGAATATCCTGAACTGGAAGGGACCCACAAGGATCACTGAGGTCCAACTCCTGCACCAGATTAAAAAGAATTCAAGATTCAACCACGCATGCTTAAGAAAGGTTGAACCTTCCAAATTGGTTTTTAAGGTACTTCCAAATATGTTTTTAAGGTACTTCCAAGTATGTTTTTAAGGAAGGAGCTGAGAAACCTTTGGGTATTTAAGGAAATGTTGTATGAACAGAAGAACAGAGTATGGACAACTAGACATTCCCAAGCCTTGTTTTCACATTCACACATCTCCCTACAGATTTAACCTCATCTCCTGAAAACCTGGAAAGAGGCTACAAAGCAAATCACGGGATTTGTATCAGACATCCTGTTCCTTCACCAAAGCATCGCTCGTTTTCGTGGGATTTTGTAAGTTTCTAACCTTTGGGAAAAAAAATCCCAGCTTTTCTTCACCTTTCTGCTTCAAAGGAACATTTTCCAAGGCATCACCCTCACACCGTGTCCCGCACCTCCTGACGCTGTGCAGGGGGTGCCCTGTGCGGGCGCAGCCCCGGGGTCGGGACCCTCTGCAGCCCCCAAATAAACACCGCGGCGGCTGCGGGGGCGGAGGGATGGGAGCCCCGGAGCTCGCATCGCCCCTGCGAGCTCACAGACAGGCGCGGGGGGCGCGGGCCTTCACAGGAGCATCGGTTCCGCAGCTCACTAACGCACGGGCTGATGAGCCGGACGCTGCTCTCCGCTCCTTATGCCAGAGCAGCCCGGACACAAACGGGTGTCACCGCGCCCGTCCCGGAGGGACGCGCAAGGACACCTGTCCCGGGAGCTGATCCGCTTCCCGGGTCCTGATCCCCTTCCCGAGCGCCGATTCCCTTCCCGGGTCCTGGTCCCCTGTCCAGGGAGCTCCCAGCTCGAGCCGCGGGCAGGGCCGGGACGGCCCTTTGTTCCTAGCCCCGCCCCGGCTGCCCCCGGGGGTCCGCGGCAGCGCACCGGAGGAGCCGCCGCTGCCGGTAATTACACACCCGCCGGTGTTTGCCCCGGTGCCGGCAGGGGCGGGCTCGGCCCCGCACCGCCCCCGCCGCGCCCGGGCAGGGCCCGGCCCCCGGCAGCTGCTCGGCCCCCGCCGCCCGCTCC